AGCTGAAACGAACGAACGATTTGTCTAATATAAGATTTTAAACAACCGCGTTCCATTTCAACTAAAATAGTAAGACACGGGTCTTAACGCGACGTTTATTAATGAGTTACATTATGTATTAAGCCGTGAGTACATAATGTAACTCATTCATAAACGTCGCGTTAAGACCCGTGTCTTATTATTTTAGTTGATTATTTGTCTATCAAAATTGGTATCCTTCCGTTTGGCCAAATTACTTTTCGCCAAATTTCACTTCGCAAACAACTTATCGCCAAAGTTTCATTTCCCAAATGAACTTTTAGCAACTGTACTTTTCGCAACTAATTCATTTGGTCAAATTATCATTTGGCCAAATTTTACTTGGCAAATGTTTATATAGCAAATGTTTTATTTTGCCAAATATTATATCCCAAATAATTTGTTTGGTCAAATTGACACTTCACATACTTACCCACCGTTACCCACAAATCAAAGCATAGGCACATGATCATGGTTTTCACAAGAATTTTATGTAAAACAAAGAGATAGCAGAAAACAGTATGGTTGCAGAAAGTAGGTATTGCAGAAAATAGTAGGTTAGGTTAGGTTAGAACAGTGACCCATTAACGCGCGAAGGCGAGCGAAGCGTGCCGCGGCAGCGGCCGCCGAGCGCTAGAATCACCTTTATTGTTAACTAGCTTTCCGCCCGCGGCTTCGCCCGCGTGGAATTTTGTCTGTCACAGAAAAACTTTATCGCGCGCGTCCCTGTTTCAAAAACCGGGATAAAAACTATCCTATGTTCTTTCCCGGGACTCAAACTATCTCTATGCCAAATTTCATCAAAATCGGTTGCGAGGTTTAAGCGGGAAAGCGTAACAGACAGACAGACAGACAGACAGACAGACAGACAGAGTTACTTTCGCATTTATAATATTAGTTGGGATGAATCATTTGGAAATTTCGAAAAAAAAGAATGAAATATGAAAATTAATATAGATTTTTTTTATATTTACTACTCACGAAACAAAATAATAACCACAGGCTTATTTGTAGTCCATTCTATGCACCAATCAAATTATTTTGTAAATTGTTTATCGTGAAATATTTTTGCCAAATGAAACATTTGGCAAAACATACTTTGCCAAACAATAATTTGGTAAACAATAATATGCCAAACACGACATTTGCGAATTAAAATTTTGCAATAAGTTGTTTTGCCAAATGAAAATTTGCCAAATGAAAATTTGCGAAACGTTGTTTGCGATGTGATAATTTGGGAAACGTTTTTTGGCCAAACATTAGTAATCCATCAAAATTGTTTGTTTCCCTAATATAAATAAATTAATTTAAAAAATGTCTCTATGCCTACAATTACACCTGCACGCTTGCTACCCTGTTTAAACTAGGCAGGAAACCCAGACAACCTCAGGGAAAGTGGCCGGGCCTAGAAAATGCGTGTGAAAGTCTAGATTTACCCGCAGTTACTCTTGAGTGTGATCGCAGGCGTAAACTGTAATGTCAACCGTAGAGCCGAGAGTTATGTGCGTACTAGGAAATGTCGGTAAATAATAATTGCTGGTTTTGAACGACAGTTGGTTTTTAAGACTAATCATTATTGGTTATGCTTTCCGCTATAAAGTTGTAAATCTAAAGATATATAACTCACTGACTGACTGACATAGTGATCTATCAACGCACAGCCCAAACCACTGGGAAATTTGGCATGCAGGTATATGTTATGACGTAGCCATCCGCTAAGAAAGGAATTTACGAAACTCCACCCCTAAGTAAAACGGGATCCACGCGTACAAAGTCACGGGTGGCCGCTAGTTCTTACATAAATCGACAAAAATATTAACATAACTAACATTAAAAATATTCATCGATAATCCCATAATGTAACATTTTAATCGTCTCTAGTTTCTTATCTAATGTAAATACATTACCAAAGTTTAGTCACTCTAAATTAGTTAGATTTCAGTGCGCGTGTAACTTTTAATAGGTTAGGATTTTAAGCCCCAACCGCCCTAATATTTGACCCAGCCTATACAAAATTAAACCACGAGACAGTACATAAAGGGTGGGCGATTAATCTCTCTAATTAGTTTCCCGACGTTTAAGCGAACAATTAACCGAATTAACAATACCTCTTCCGGGTTAGGTGCAAAGTTAACGGACACAGTTATTGAACTAATTAAACTCTTTAAAATAAGTTGGTGCGTACACTCTGTCTGGCCATTATTTATTCGTGTACTTGTTACGAACAAGTTTTTGTTATTATATTATTTTCTATAGTCTGGTCCGTGAGCACGTAGGATTTTGTCCAATGAACCCAAGCTACCCATCCTTATCGCGCCTTATATTGCTGTCGCGACTGTGCGACTGGCACCCGCAGTCCCGCAGTGAGTGTGCGAGCGCGATAGCAATATAATTACGCGCGAGCGATAAGGATGGGTAGCTAGGGGTCATTGGACAAAATTCTACGTGCTCACGGACCAGGCTTTAATACAAAAATGACCTTCTTTAAAACACAAGCTCTACTATCTGTTAGTGAAAAACCCATCAAAATATACTTACGAGCAAAAGTATGGAATCACCTTGTTGTGTTTTGTGCCGAACGATCTTAAAAACTAACTGCCTACTACAATATTACTTTTAAAATGGTATCATTTTCATTTATTTTCTTTCTATTAGACATTTAGTTCTTAGGATCGTTCGAAACAAATAGGTAGGGTCATTCCATATTTTTGCTCGCAAGTTTAGTTTCAGCTTTTCCAGACATTACGTAAGAAAAAATGAACAGACAAGCAGCCAAAAAAAATTCAAAAAACGAATTTTTTGTGTGTTAATTAAAAGTAAGTAGTCATAAACTGAACAATGATTTATTATGCAATGATACCGTTTTCGATGACACGCACACTGCCCACTTTATTTATTTTTAGTTTTGTTTTGTGTTGCTGAATAAAACATTTCATTTTCATTTTTCAAATATATTTCAAAGCTAAACTCATCACTGCCCAAATTAATTCCTACAGACAATACAGGGTGTAAATCTTGTAACCACAAAAGCGCTATAAATCTAGTTCGAGCGGATTAGCCTGTCGCTGCCGATATAGCAAAACTACTGCTAATGTATAGAGTTACACACTAGTAGGGATTAATTGAAATGAAACAATGTTATTGAGTTTCACAATGCTGAAAACTTAGATGAATATTGTTATTACCACATAATTTGATGATTGAAGACCGAAAATCTCTTAAAGTAACAGCATCAGGTGTGATCTTTTTTTTTATGTACTTATCCTAAAACTGTTTTATAGTGAGATCGACATAATAATATACCTGTCCCAATTATGTGGACAGTTATCTTAGAAGACAGACATAATTCGTGGTCCGGAACGAATGTTCAGGTATTCTTGTACCAGATTATTTTAATATTTAAAAATCTTCGCCACAGTAGCCCAGCGAAAGCTTGCAAAAACGACTAGACGAACCTTGCATATTTCCCTTTTTCATTATAATTTTTAACAAGTCTGGAACCAGAATGGCCTTATCCCGGACCGAGCAGGGAAGTAATAAAGTTGCATTAATAAAATGCATCCCATTATTTCGCAGAGGCTGGATTAATGTGCCCTAATAAAAATGAGGATTGCACCAGCCAGATGCGAATAAATGAGGTTTATCTCAACAAATTTCCATACAGGCTGTATTTTAAGAGCCTACCAATGTACACACGGCCACAGTGTTAACTATCCATTTCCGTTTTTGCTCTCGCTCTCATCAAATGGTGATTCTTTGCGATAGAACGAGACGACATGACCGGCAAAGGGCAGTTAACACTGTTGCCGATAGTACTCTTTATTTATTTATTTAAACCAGCAGACGGTAGTGACTGAGTTAGTTGCGGCACTTCTTCTCAGCACTTGCCAAATGTTGGTCTCAAAGCGCTGGTAGGGTAAAAAGAGTGTGAGACATGTAATAGCAAAAGTAAGTTATTTTTATTAGTATTTGTTTTTTCATGAAATATTTGACGTTTATAAGCATTATTTAATAGTCCATATGAATAAAAAATGTTTGTCTTTGACTTGGAATGGGATGAGATATCGTTCTACAATAACAGGTTGATTAATAGTTGTAAAACGTAGGTACATACATCCTGTATTTTAAGTAGCCTTTAATTGTATGGCAGGAGTTCGGAAATTAACTACCTCTGTTTGCGTTCAAACTTAAAATTAATAGATATAATTTAGACATACCAATTAATAATGTCTTATGACTGATAACTTATGACAACAAATCGCGAAAAGTAAAATTAGATTATCTGTCGGCATTCATTTCAACTAGATTAATTATTAACTATATCGAAGTTAATATATATGTTTGTTAAATTAACATTTTACTTACCCGTTATAGTTTCATCGTGAATCGTTTTATGACGGATATTGCGACATTATAACCATTATTAAACAAGTATCTATGTATAGACTATAATACACTAACAATGTAATATATTTACGCGTTGCGGATACGTAGATGTTCGTAATAAATATTTTATGAACGACAGACGCGATATGTTGCATCCCTTGCGAATATTCAATCATTTACATATTTGTAAAGGCAAGTAATGGAAAGCTGCTGTATCAAATTGTGATGTATGTTGAAATATTTTTAAATTATTTGGGCTGTTTTTCTTCATTATGTTTGAAGTAGCAATTAATCACATAGTAGCGTCCTGTGTCCATTAACTGTACCTATCTGTGTATTTATCTGTTTTTAAAAATTTTATAGTTTCAAATATAGTATAAAGAGGATTTAGGACGATATTTGGATCAAATATGTAATTGCTCAATAATGAATAATAAATAAATAAATAAAAAATAAAAAATGTCTATAAAAATAAGAAACGTAGTTCTTATAATATAAATTGTATGTTAATCATTTCTAGGATCTCAAAGTAATGCCCAAATTGGATTATTTTTTTGATACTTAGTTCCTAAATTCGTTTAATTTTCCTATTTCAGTGCACACGTCCGCTTCCATCGAGCTATGCGCATGAAATGACCTCGTGATTCGAAATTCGAACGCCGGAAGCATGGGCAGCGGGCTCAGTAGCGCCACCAGCCGGAAGTACTCGCGGAAAGAGCCTCCGCCTCACGCAGAGTCTTCCAGAGTGCTGTTCCTCTTGTACCTGATACACAGGACTTGGAATGTCGTAGTTGAACACGTGGATTCTAAGAGTGCAAGGTACGTTTTGTTTTTGTTTTCATTCAATTAAACCTGATATTTTTCAAATAGAGGGGGAAACGTGCTTATCATGAGTTTACGTTAGGTGTGCTCGCTAGCGAGTACGTCAACAAATCTATGAAGATTTTAGTTCTTGTACAAGTAGTCGCTAAGAGCGCTGTACAATCTGTCATAATGACATTTTTTATGTACTCGCTAGCAAAGACACCTAACGCAAACTCATGGTAAGCACACAAAACAGCTTCCCTAAACAATGTAACGTTTATTTTTTATTGGGTACACCAACGATAATCCACTTTTAACAAACACATACAAAATATTAAACTAATTTTATTGCACTCTCACTTATAATAATTATACGTGACAGTTTTAGTTTTAAAATTCACTTAGACTGAAACCATTGCGAGAGTTCTTTATTCAGGGGGCAATTTCAGTCCTACATAGGGTAAACCAGAGAGTGATTGCCCACTGGTAGTGATTGCCCGCTTTAAGAATAATATTGTCAGGTGCTGACTTTGAATCACTCTAGTTAGATTTGAATTTACTAAGTAGATGGCTCCGAGATCAATGTACAGTAGATTTAAAATTTACAATAGGAAACACTAAAAAAAAAACTGTTATGGCGGATTTTGTCAAGACGGGTGAAAATGTTACTCAAACAGGTAAAGACTTTAACAATTTTACTAAGGAATGACTTGCTTAGAGGTTAAATTTTTTTTGCAAGTTATTTAATATTCAACTAATGGTGTATAGTCATGATGAAATTATAAGTGTTTTCTCCATTATCAATGAAAATAACTGACAAAATTTGATTTCTAACGGTCATTTTAACGGTGGGTAATCACTGCACGTAAATCTGTATATTTTTAGTTATTGCCCACCATCATTTCAGTTATTGCCATATTATGTTAATGTATAGTTATTGCCCAGGGCAATTATTATTGAGTGTTGCCACCATGCAGTAGCAGTGTTTAAGTTGCTCATTGCTAGACTTGTTTTGCAATTTACAGGCATAAATATTGAAATGGCTTTTAATGTTTCATTTTCAGTATGCCAAAGACTCCAAAAGTTCAATATAGCATAGAAAATTTGCAAAAAGCCATCCAAGCTGTACAAGATGTATCCAACAATTTATCTACAAGATAAATTGCTGAAAAATATGGTTTGGCTTGAAAAAATTGATAAAAATTCCAAACGCAAATACAAAAAATGAAAATCCTACGTTAAATCTACTAGTGAAAATGTTAATTGTAAGGAAATAGATACAACTTTAGGGAAGAATAACCAACAGCTAATTGAACATTCTGAGGCTAACTCCCGTTCCCGTGGGAATTTTGCAATATCCTGTTGTAACTAAGCTTTAAGTTAACTAAGGTATCTGCATGCCAAATTTCAAGCGTCTAACTTAAGCAGTTTAGATTTTTCATAAAAAAGGATTTTCCCGCTAATTCCCGTGCCCGTGGGAATTCCTAAGTATCCTATAACCTGCCCAGGAGTACGAAGAATAATTGTACCAAGTTTCGTTAAAATCCGTCAAGTAGTTTTTGTTTCTATAAGGAACATACAGACAGACAGACAGACAGACAGACAGACAGACAGACAGACAGACAGACAGACAAAAATTTTACTGATTGCATTTTTGGCATCAGTATCGATCACTAATCACCCCCTGATAGTTATTTTGAAAATATATTTCATGTACAGAATTGACCTCTCTACAGATTTATTATAAGTATAGATAACGCATAATAATATTATAGGCCCAAATACCAGTAAGTACGTGCCGAAATGAGCTTATCATAAGAGCCGTAAGTGCTACACCTTAATCTACTGTGTGGGCTAATGTCACAAAAACAATATCACATCTGTATTAACGACTTGCTTCATAACTCAGCTTATGGAGTGGAATGCCATAATTGTTTTTCCAGCCTATTTCGCGCACAATAATTGATTACTTCCTACTCTCGCTGAATTGCACGTCAACAAACTGGAAACGGGGACGAAAAGTTTTTTGCACGTCAAAGAGAATTTCGTAGTAAAATCATAAATCACGAAAAACAAATTTAATTTTGAATTTCAGCCTTTATCCCGGTCCTTTTGGATTACACGCGAGCTCGGTTATATAAATCATCAATATCAGACAGTTCAATGTGTTTTATAACGTACCAAACGAAATGGAAAAGTCGAATGTATGAAATAGAAATTCTTATCAAAGAACACGTGATGGCTTTTATGTTTTACGTGAAATAACATTGATTTATCGAAATTAATCGAAACCGAAGATTTATAATAAATTGTTAATCCATAGAACTGTCGTATTATAATGTTCTACTATTACTAGCCATTAATGCTAAACTTCTCTTATGTTCTCTGATTAACTTCGTTGCGGGTCCAATGACAGTTTAACTTTCCCCCGGGACAAACTTGACCTTCATTGGTTGGGTTTTTATGGCGATCAAGCTGTAGATCCTGGCTACACAGGAGTTGCAGTGGTTGGAACGAGAGGTGAGAATAGTCCCGAATCCACAGGAAGAGTGGGAGCCGTCCTATTCTACTCGGCCGGAAACACACAGTATAACTCGTACTCATGTAGTAAAATAAAAATATATTGTGGTTGTTCGAACTGTTTATTGCCTATAATTACAGTAGTAACTTAACCAGAGCAGTCATCTGTGGTTTTCGTGGAAATGGCCCGAGATAACCACATCTTTTTTTACATTCTCTATTAGTACAGAAAGTACTATTATCATGATTCAGTGTATATTTATGCTATGATCAATTTCTGTATGTATGTATCACTCTAGTGGTAAAGGAGAAATACTCAGAGGTGTTGGATTCGAAATCAAATGAATGAAATCACTTTTCCAATAATAATAAACCATTTCACCCATTAGGGCTTCGCTATACGTACGATCTTACACTAAAAAGCTTATTTGACTAAAAATGTGCTAATAACTGTACCTATCTAATCGTCATCATCATCATTCAGATTTAGAATGTCCACTGCTGAACATAGGTCTCCCCCAATGCTTTCCATGTTGATCGATTGGTAGCGCCTTGCGTCCAGCGCTTCCCTGCTACCTTTACGATGTCGTCGGTCCACCTTGTAGGTGGACGTCCCACGCTGCGTTTTCCGGTACGCGACCTCCATTCCAGAACCTTTCTGCCTCATCGGAGGTCAGTTCTGCGTACTATGTGCCCTGCCCATTGCCACTTCACTTATGGAGCCTATACATGTCTCATTCCTTTTTTACCCTACCAGCAGCGCTTCGAGATAAATATTTGGCAAGTGCTGAGAAGAAGCGCCGCAACAAACTCAGTCAACCACTGTTTGTTAAAGAGAGTCGTCCCTCCGCAGCCAAGACTAAATGACCTGTGGGCTGAGTGTGAGTTTATATCAAACGCGCTGACTAGTTTAAAAAATGTATGAAAATTTTAGTTTTTGAACGTTTCCCGCTAGGGGCGCTGTACAATCCGTCATACATTTAATGTCATTATTGATGAAAACTTACACTAGGCCCTCTGATAACGATCTATCTCTCCAAACCAGAGGTGAAATTGTGTAAAGCAATCGTAATCATTTGACAGTTCATAACGTACGATAAAGTCAGTTAAACAAAGCGTTTGACAGAATAATCGTACGTTATGAACTGTCAAATGATTACGATTGCTTTACACAATTCCACCTCTGATCAGTATATTCTCAATTTCAGATGGCGCGGCTCTCACACAGTGCCGAGCTCAGGCGAGGGCCTCGGCCGGAGGTTCGATTCCGTCAGCCTCGCCGACTCCGAGCTCGGCTCCTGCTACTCATCCTGCAGCTGTAGCTACTGCCGTCTGCGGGAGTGCGCTCATGACTGCGTCAGGTTGGTCATCATCATCATCATTATCTTGATAATAATCATCATTAGAGCTACTGTCAGCCTCGCCGACTCCGAGCTCGGCTCCTGCTACTCGTCCTGCAGCTGCAGCTACTGCCGTCTGCGGGAGTGCGCTCATGACTGCGTCAGGTTGGTCATCATCATCATCATTATCTTGATAATAATCATCATCAGAGCTACTGTCAGCCTCGCCGACTCCGAGCTCGGCTCCTGCTACTCGTCCTGCAGCTGCAGCTACTGCCGTCTGCGGGAGTGCGCTCATGACTGCGTCAGGTTGGTCATCATCATCAACATCATCATCATCATCATCATCATCATCATCAGAGCTACTGTCAGCCTCGCCGACTCCGAGCTCGGGTCCTACTACTCGTCCTGCAGCTGCAGCTAGGGAGTGCGCTCATGACTGCGTCAGGTTGGTCATCATCATCATCATCATCATCATCATCATCATCATCATCATCATCATCATCATCATCTTCACCATCAGCATCATCATCATCAGAGCCAATTCTACACCTGCAGCTGCTGCCGTCTGCTGTTATCAAGCAGGTTGGTCATCTATATCATCATCATCATCATCACCATCATACTCGTCCTGCAGCTGCAGCTACTGCCGTCTGCGTGAGTGCGCTCATGACTGCATCAGGTTGGTCATCATCATCATCATCATCATCATCACCATCATCATTATCATCATCAGAGCTACCATCTTCATGCAGCTACTACTGGCGTCTGCGGGACTGCATTCATAACTGCGTCAGGTTGGTCATCATCATCATCATCATGATCATCATTATCATCATCATCATCATCATCATCATGATCATCATTATCATCATCATCATCATCATCATCATCATCATCATCATCATCATCATCATCATCATCATCATCATCATCATTATCATCATCATCAGAGCTACTGTCAGCCTCGCCGACTCCGAGCTCGGGTCAGAGTTGGTCATCTATCTTATCATCAACAGCTCTTATATTATCATCATCTTGATAATAATCATCATCAGTATTACCGGCGGCCACTTAACCTAGAAAAAAAATTATTTAGGATAACGTTTACTAGAGCTGTGCATTTAGTTTTCGTTTCAAAATATGGTTTCCATACTAAAGCTAAATTGCGTGCACCTAGCTTTAACGATAACCGGTGTTTTTTGGAAACATAGACTTTTGACGATGTTAAAGCAGTTAAAGTAAGATGGTGCAACCCTCCTTAGGATTTTTTTTCTATTTATTAGTTTAGGGACTTTTACCTAGTATGTCAGTCCCATCATTAAGGGCATTTCTACTGCACGGTGTATTTTTTCTCAATTCGGTGCTAAAATTTATATTTAGTTTTTCAAGTAGTTTCAATACAAAAAAATAAATTTTACTCCATTCTGAATGTAAAAATAGCATTGTCACTAAATATTGTGAAGTGGTTTATGAGAAAAGTTAAGCACCGAATTGAGAGAGCACCGAATTGAGAAAATGAATCACGGAATTGAGAAATGAATCTCCAAATATTTAAATCGCTCCACAAACTTAGAATTGATGACATTATGAAGAAATACCTAATGTATTTCAATAATCAATATAATAAATACTTAAAACGTTTTGATATCTGACTGCTGGTCTATTAGTTAAATGGTTCATTTTAGGTTTATGTGTCTGAAATACCAATGGAATATAACAAAAATCCTAATCAATATGTTTATTTTTTTAATAAAGAACTATAATTCATTTTTATATTTATATATTATTTTAATTTTATTTAAATAAAACAAATAAATACATAACATAAGGTCTCATTGTTTATTTATTATTAACCTTAAACATAAAACAAATATTGCAAGACCCAAGAGCTAGATTGACCTGACACTATACCGAAGATATATCAAACGTCAGTTTGTACACGATTAAAATGGCTCTCAAATACAACAAAGCACCGGGTGTTACGGCATCATGGCTGAGCTTCGCCGGTACTAAAGGCTCTACAGAAGCAGTTCAATTCCGTCACTCTCGAAGAAAAAACGCCTTCGGTATGGCACAGAAGTGTAGTGATAGCATTATAGACTCATCTCACTAATGAGGCGTGTTTACAAGCTGTTTTCGAGAGTCCTTACGAATCATCTCGCTCGCAGACTCGACGACTTTCAGTCTTCCGAACAACTTGTTTCCGAAAAGGCTTTAGTATTATGGTACACACACAGGTACGCTACGGCAGATTATACAGAAGACCAAGGAGTCGCGATATTGCGGACGATATCGGAGTCATGGCTGAGACCTTGGAAGATCTAAGCACAATGCTCGATGGCCTCCGCAGAGCCTCTCAACAAGTGGGTCTCAAAATGAACATGGACAAGACAAAAATCATGTCAAATGTCCGTGTTGCACCCATTCCTCTGAAGGTTGGAGACTACACTCGAAGTTTTTGACAATTGTGTATACCTGGGACAAGAGTCCAGATAGTTAGGTCCAACTTTGAGAAAGAGGTCTATCGCTGAATTCAACATAGCTAAGCATCGATCGGAAAACTTCGCTATTACGTCTGAAATACCGCAGTGTCTTAAGACAAAAGTCTTCGACCAGTGTGTGTTGCCAGTGATGGTGTATGGATGTGAAACGTGGTCGCTTACTATGAGCCTAATAAGAATCAGAAATGAAAATATCGGCAAAAGAACCAAAGTGACCGGCATAGCCCGCAGAATTGCATAAATCAAGTAGCAGTGGGCGGGGCACATAGCTCATACAGATAATGGCTGTTGGGACTGAAAAGTTGTCGAGTGGAAACCACGGACCAGTGAGCAGGCCCCCCACTAGGTAGACCGACGATCTGGTGAAGGTCGAGGGAAGAACCTGGAAGAATTATTTTGATAAGTAGCAATAGCAGTGTATTATTTTTAATGAAACCTCAAAAAAATAAGTTTTACTGTCTTCTGTCCAATGACTGGTACGGTCCAATGATTGGTAGTTCACCCTATTATTATGCTCTATTGATTTCATTATTATTTTAAGATGCACAAACAATTTATAGCACAATAAAAGTATCTATTTTCATTTAATATCAATTCGGTGTACGTGTTTTCTCAATTCGATGCCCCATATTCCGCGGAATTGAGATCCACGGAATTGAGGAAAAATCACATTTCATCAAATTACTCGAAAATATTATAAATTACAACAATTTCTACCAAACGTAATGGCAGATATCAGTTAAATGCTTAATTAATTCAGCAGTAATCTTATTAAGTACTTCATGAACATTATTAATGTCGCACACCGGTTTGAGAAATGACCAGTGACCAAAAATTCTGAGTGATTTCAAACCTCTGAAAAATGCTCCTCAAAGCGACAGATCCCACTTTTATACTGCTCGACCACTCGAGTGCAACTGCTAGTTTATGGGAATCAGTCGTGGGTGTTCTTAATGTGCGTAGTTAGTGATATAGGAGCACAAAAGTAAAAATCACGGAATTGAGACACACACGTCGGACAAAATTTAAATGTGTTACTGTATTAAAACCCAAGGACTTACAATAAAGAAACTCATTTATATAGCTTTACTAACTATCCCTTGTTCTGTGAATGTGGGTATCATAATGGGGAAGTTATTATTTCAAAAGTTATGAAGCAAAAACGAGTAAATTCTGGAAACCGGACACTCCATTTTAGGCCAAATTTCGCCCGTTTTTGAACTTTCGGATTTTTTCAAGGCGAGATGTAAAACCTGGCGGTCTTTTAAATATGCTCTCCATCAAGTCAAGAGTCCTATAAATACGTGTGATTTTTTTCAAGTCCGTACTTCAATTTTAAAAGTACTTTTTTCGCCCCAGTAGGTCGATCGGTCGTCCCCGTAGAAATGCCCAACCTAATCGTATCCAAAGCCTTAGGATGTTGAAAGCAAAGCTAATTTAATCTCATGAAAATAATTTATTATTTTATTTGCTAAGCAATTCAACAACATTTTATCTTTATTCCAGGTAAGTCCGCATGAAAAGCTCCACTCTGAAAACTTTGAAACGGTCAGCAGACACCACACTTCTGAGCAGCTAATGGACGGGGCAAGGGTAACAGAAGTGAAACACTAAAAAAAACCCTTTAGGTAAAACAAAGTTTTAGACCTAAACTATTTACGCCCGTATTCACAAACATTAATATGAGGTCTCACAGTGAGTGTGGACACACATGGTGACACAGGAAGCAATCACAGAGCTCTATTCAATGCTGTGTGTTCGATTTGCTGCTTTACTTAAGCAAGCATCGTTTGGGAATACCTCGGATTTTACCCTCTGGTCTTAGAAAGTCTCTATCGCAGGTCCGTCTAAAATACTCCTCCTCAAAAAGACATTTCCTGAAAACGTCCGATTATACTTTAGTTAGGTTTTCGGACGGCTAGTTTTAAAAATGAAACGTTTTGTAAAGAAGTTGAACCTTAAATTATTGGTAAATCCACTAGGTACCTGATTCAGCAGATAGGTCATCTAGCCTACCAAATGATTCATCCATTTGTTGGAACATTTTTTAATTATTTGATCAATATCGTACTTGTCCCAATGATTGATGCGAAAAGTCGGAATAGGCCGCGATCCCAACCATAGATTGTAGACTTTTAAATTACATTTCAGGGAGGTTTCCAGCTTTTGTGCATTACTTAATTTACTTTAATACGGCAATTAAAATTCCATGAAAAGGGCAGCGGAGAAACTTAAATGACTTAATTTTATTTCATCGTAACTTCGGTTATAAAATAAGGTTTATTGAATTCTTGGTTCAAGTCGCGTTTATGCTCTTGACTATTCCATTTTCTCACAAAAATCGATCATTAACCCTTCAGGAATATTGTCATAATATAAGAGCTCTAAAATATCGATAAATTACTTATTGGATTTACACTGAAGAATAGATCAAACTGTGATTATTGTAAATTTTACCGTATGTGTAAAGTAAACTACATTAACAATTTAGTTTTTGGATGAAGGTCCTTCAACTAATCAGTACAACTGTCCGGGAATGTCCAGCTTAAAATTCTATCAGACATAAGTTTCAATCTTGGGTTTAAATATAAGTAGTCTTGAACGCACTTTAGGATACGTTTTAGTTTATGCTTATCTAAATCTACGTACCGTAAACGTTATCTCATTGAAAATCTGTCACCATTCAAGTACAATTACAGTTTCCAGTAGCGCCGCGAGCGCAGTTGATCTGAGACTCAATTTGCGCGGGCCTCGACACTCGCGCCTCAATCCATTAGGTCGCGGATTGCCTCACTGTTTGCAGACGTACAGGCAAGATTGATCAGTCAACTCAACTGCACGTTTTTGTAGTTCTCATGGGCATAGTAGCGTGAGACATCCACCCGCAAGGTGGACCGACGACCTCATAAAGGCTGCTACCAACCGGACGATGTAGAAGCCATTGGAGGAGGCTTATGTTAAGCAGTGGACGTCCTGGTGCTGAAATGATGATGATGATGATGATGATTGTTTTCATGTAAATCCCTCGGTGTCTAAGGTTCATATTGATTCAGTCGCAGTCATACATAGACTCTGTTCTATGATTGGTCTAAATATTTAAAACCCATGGAACTCCTCAATCTATGCTAGAAATTGAAAAAAAGTTTTGAGCTTTGTACACGCACTGGACACTTTATTCATGTGTCGTTTTAAGAATTGGGCTTGAAGTGGTTTATTTTTTCGTAATTTCTAATTATAATTTTTAAAATCAATTAACAGAGCTTGTAGAGGTATTGTAGTCGCTTGCGCTAACAACCAATTCAATCTACTTTGCAACGAATATTACTCAATAATGATTAACTAATATGACAACATAATGTTATAAAAATCCTTCTATATTTTACTATCGTTACTGTTCGTAATGAAAGTCCTTAGTAGGTTACATATGCATGTACTTCTAACTCCCATATTTGATTGACTTGAAAAGTACCTAATTTTAGAATAACAGAGACTGGCTGTTCTAACAGTACTATGACCACGATTTCATCTGCGAACCGCGAGATGCTCACCCGATGGTTTGTACGCAAATACATCCAACGTAATGATGCCGCTGCGGGATCAGCTCTTTGGAACGTATCGCTATCGTGTTACACTGTTTGCGTAGTGTGAGAGGAATAGCAAGGAAATGTAGAGTTCACAGAATGTGCAGAACAGAACCAATTACAACTTTAGTAGATGTCAGTATTACGCCCGTTTCCCATATTCAAACCTTGTCCAAATCTGGATTTCAACTGTCAAATTGAATTCAGTTTTAGATTAATTAACAACAATATTCGATGCGTTTACACTTTAATATTGTTTAAATAGATAAACAAAAATAATATGAAAATGTAAAAAACATCAAAAACCGCAGATATTTTGACCAAAAACATTGAAAGACAGTTGACGGACGGATTTGGATTAGGATTAAATTAGAATAGAAATCCAGCAGTAAGCGAAACTTGCCGGAACGTATTAGGTACCTCATCATCATCATCATCACCTCAGCCATATGACGTCCATTGCTGAACATAGGCCTCCCCCAATGCTTTCCATGTTAGGTAGGTACCTATAACTGACAAAATAAATGCTTTATTGATTTATTTATTAATTTAAGACGTACAAAACATTGATTGTTGTCGTATAATAAACTTAGAACTTTTAGGTACTACTTGTTTCTGACTTAATCACGGATCTAACTTAAACTTAGGTTACTTACTAAAACTTTGAATGATTTATTACCTATTTAAGTGTCACATCGCACTTTCAATTTTCATTTTTCATATTAATTAAAAGTGCCATATGTGGCACTTCATGTACGTTACTAATATTATGTAGTCTAAACATTCTGAAACAGTCTTTTTCACTTTGGCATTTTAAATTACTTTAAACATTTTGCATTTTAAATATAATCGTACTTAATTGCGCACATTCCATCTCTTTAGTTGCTCATTCCAAACAAACTCCCTTTGCTCGTGTCTATTTCACAAAAATAAAAGCTCGAGAAAGTTAAAATAACCACACTCCGGAAGCGTTTAAAAGCTCGTTGTACAGACCAGGGATGTTATGGATATCCGTAACCGTAACCTAAACTTTCGGATATCCGAAATAAAAAATATCCGAAACCGTAACCGATTCAAAAGTTTCGGATAGTTTCGGATGTAGGCAGTTTAAATTGTTTTTTGTATTGCATTAATGTAAAGGCATAACATCCTGATTTACCTTTATAATGCCATCTAGTATCAATTTTTATCTTTTTATTACTTTTTATTCGATATTAAGTGTGTGGCCATGAATGAACCATGTTGGACAACTATTGCAAAATGTATTCTAAAGCACAGATATCCGTAACCGTAACCGAAACTTTCGGATATCCGAAATAAAAAAATATAATATTATTCCTATATCCGTAACCATATCCATAACCGAAACTACATAATCATAACATCCCTAGTACAGACCGCCCAGAGCTCTTAGGGCGTAATGCTCTTAGAGCCTGAAACTAAACAGCTGGGCGGACAAAGGCAGCTTAATAACCAATTGCAGATTCTGTTTTAAAGAAGCCTTGGGAAGTTAAAAGAAAACAGATCGTGGTTTCAAGTTAAGTACAAAATGCGAATGGTAAAATTGAACAATTTATTTAGTTACTCAATGAGGGTTTTCGCGAAAGATCCGCTAGATGGCGGGACGTGGACGTGGGGTCTGACTGCTGCGTGATTGGTGGATTTTGACATATCTGTCAATGTCATGTCAAAAATAACCAATCATGCAGCATCTGGACCTCGCATCTACGTATGCCATCTGGCGGATTTTTCATTCGCGAAAACCCTCATTACGTTTCTTTCTAACAAATACTTGGAATAAATGGGTTGCTGGTTGATAAAATGACTACAAGATTATAACTTCGCGTTCCATTTCAACTAAAATAGAAAGACACGGGTCTTAACGCGACATTTATGAATGAGTTACATTATGTACATTTCAACTGCTATGCTGCAGTCTGCTTGTGACCACGGCTGCTGCATAGCAGCCGAAACGTCAAGCCGTGAGTACATAACGTAACTCATTCATAAATTTCACGTTACGACCCGTGTCTTTAACCCTTCATTTGATTTTGTTCACTGGGATGAACATTCAATTGAAAAAAATAATATGCCGAGTGCATACGTCTTAATTTCTGGTAAGTTTTTTTTTCACTAGAAAATATACTTAAGTTTTGGTAGAAAAATATGTTTATATATAGACCTTAAAAAGGATTTTAATTTACTAACAACACTTAACAAACATGCTTAAAATACCCATTATAAAATTTTCATTTCTAGCTTCCTACAACTTAGATTCCGTCGGCTATTTCTAATATAACCCTTGTTTTTCTTTTTCTTTTTTATCAAGAAATGCATGCAGTTGCGTACCCACTAGCCGCGAATTTCAAGAAAAGTGGGATATAATATCTCTAAAACCTAAAGATGACGAATTACTAGCCAATAAGATGTCAAATGCGCGTGTACTTTGGTAATAGTGATACGAGTATGTTTAAGTTTCTGATTTATAGTAGGTATAACTAGCATTCCGCCCGCGGCTTCGCCCGCGTCAAATTTTTTCTGTCACAGAAAAACTTTGTCGCGCGCTTCACTGTTCCAAAAACCAGGATAAAACTATCCTATGTCCTTTCCCGGGACTCAAACTATCTCTATGCCAAATTTAATTAAAATCGGTTCAGTGGTTTAGGCGTGAAAGCTACACAGACAGGCAAACAGACAGAGTTACTTTCGCATAATGTATAATATTAGTAAGGATAGTTATAGAAAAACTTGAATTTGCTCTCACTTTTGCCTTCCTTCTTTTATTTCTTTTAAACAAGATTTTTCCAAACTGCAAATAATAATGTTTATTTATTGATTTCTTCAAATCGCACAATAGAAAGTGTGGAATGAATTCTTTAATACATTAATTGGACATCTCACTAGAGCGTATCTAATGGATTACAAAATC